ACAGAACTTAACGAAAGAATTTCTCTCTCTCTCTTTCTCTCTCTCTCTCTCTCTCCCTCATCTATTTTTATAAAGACAACAATATTTCAGATATACGACTTCCCACTTCAACAAATATCTATCCATGCCATGCCCACCACCAACCCCTCTTCCCATTCCATCTATCTCCATCTCCCTTCCCCTTTGAGCACCACCACAGTGTTGTCAGAATCTAAGGGTTTGTTTTTCTTTTGTTTTATTTGTTCATTTGCTTTGTTTCTTGATCTTCCACATATGAGTCAATCATAGGGTATTTGTCTTTCTCTTTCTGACCAATTTGCTTAGCATAATCCTCTTGAGGGCCACCCATACAGTTGCAAAGGCAAGATTTCATCTTTTTCTTAACTGGGCAGTATTCCATTGTGCACATAGACTACATAACTTGACAAAGCCAACTTCCAGTTTTCCTGTCCCTCCCCAACCCGCCCCACTGCTCCATCCATCCTTTCCGGCTATGTTTCACACCTGATGGATGTGACCCCTGGCATGCTGCCCAGTGCCTGGCAAACAGCAGATACGCTGAATGCTGAATGAGGGCATTAAAACCATTTCAGAATGTCTTGTATAGCATCACTTCACTTCTTCACATAGTCTGTGTGCCTTGGAGCCTCTTTCCAGAGGCATAGAATTTAGATTTTGGCATCAATGATGAAGATCAGGTAACTGGTTTCTAAACCTTATTCATTTGTGTGCCACTTTTATAGTTATTTTGATATTTAAACAGTCATAGACATTAGTGAATAGATTATTTTTATAGTTCCCTCCACCACCGTCTTTTATATCCCCTTGACTTATTCTCTCTCTCTGCTCTGTATTGTCTCAGAAACCTTACTCTGTTTATTAATATCCACTAGTTTTTATATTGTTAGTTTGTTGAATGATTCTCTATGTAAATGTCCAGCGTTTGACATTTTAACTTGCTTTCTTACATTTAATACCCAGAACGCATCCCATTTTGCTGTAAATGGCAGCATTTTTTCTTTCTTTAGGACTGAATAGTATTCCATAGTATGAACAGATCACATCTTCTTGATACAGTTTTCTATCAATGAGCATTAGGTTGCTTCCATGTCCTAGTTATTATAAATCTTGTTGCAATAAACACTGTAGGGCTTATAGTTTTTTGAGTGGAAGGTTTTACTTTCTTTGGATAAGTACCCAAGCGTGGGGTTACTGAGTCATATGGCATTTCCATTTTTAGCTTTTTAAGGTAAATCCAGATTGCTTGCCATAATGGCTGCACCAGTTTACATTCCCACCAACAGTGTAATTGGGGTCTGCTTTCTCTGCATCCTCCCTAGAACTTATTGTTGGGTGTTTTTTTAATATGTGCCATTCTCATAGGTGAGAGATGATATCTTACTGAGGCTTTAACTTGCATTTCTCGTATTGGCAGCAAGATGAACATTTTTCCATATATCTGTTCGCCTGTTGGATATGCTCTTTGGTGAATTAGCTGTTCAGATTTGTTGCTCATTTAATAATTGGGTTATTTGTCTAGATATTGTTGGATGGTATATGTTTTTATATATCGTAAATATTCACCCCTTATTAGTCAACATTTTAAAACTTAATTTCATTTTAAAAGAAAACTTGATAAGTTGTTTACGTATTATATGCAGAAAATAAATCTGTATCAATTTAAATGAAATGAAACCAAAGAGTGTTTGTTTCACATTCTATTTGTGGGATTTGTCTCACATTGGATAAATACAGTTGTCATTGAACTTCTTCACAGTGCAGATGGGAAAACTGAGGCTTAGTGATATGAAGATACTTGCTCAAGGCCACAGCCAACCAGTGACCAAGCTTGGATGGGAGTCCAGCTGATCTGAACTATCGATGTGTGAAGGCAACCAGCTTTCTGTCATGGTATCATTGATAAATTTAACAACTAAGCCACCATTCCTCACCTAGCAGGCAGGATTGGGAGGCTTAAATGGATAAAGGAAATGAATGGGACTGTGCTGGAGAACTTGGGTTATGAAGCTGATGATCCTTTAATCTGATGATCCCTTATGCGAATTCGGATCATCAGTTTGGACCCACCTAAGACTTGCCACCCTAACCAAATCCATGGATATAAATAGAGCCTCAGGACCCTCATGCAGGGCAGCAGACCTCCTCTGCCTTGCCTGCTGCTTCCCTTAGTCTACTTCAATTAATCCACCTCTTATGTTCTCCACTCTGTCTCTGGTGAATTCTTTCACTCCCGTGCCTCTGGCCTATATCCGACTCTGTCCCATGACACTCCATCCACCCATGTGATCTCCTGAGAATTTTCTGAGGCATGCCCTTTAACTGTTGTGGTAGATGTGGCAGAGTGTGTGATGGGGTGACTGTTCTGGTGGGCTCAGCATCTGGTGGAGGATTCAGGATTCTAACAAGCTGTCTTGGTATTGAGTTATGTGGCAAGAGCTGTGATAGAGACAAAGGATCAGTGGGCAGAGGTGCTGGGGCCTGGGATCATGCAACTGTGCCCTTGTACAGCCCTGTATCCAGGGCTAACGAGATCCATTCTCCCAATAATGAGTACCAGTTTCAAGTTGCCGATTTCCTGCCCCACAACCACATCACGTGGCATAGTGAAGCAGCTGAGAGAAAGCACCACCTCTAGTGCCCTTAGCCTGGTTCAAATCCCAGGTGTTCATGTCACCCCTCTGTGACAGAGGCATGTTCTGTAATGTCTCAGAGTCTAGCTTCCTTCTGTAAGATGAGGATGGCTCAACCTGTCAATCTGCCTATATTTTAGAGCTGTTACAAAGCTCTGAAGAAAATAGATGCTTGTGCCCATCAGGAAGTGAGATCTAGGGCCCACAGCCTCTGCAGCGCCGGTTCAATCCCCAGCTGCCGGGCGAGGGTCCCACATGGCGCGCAGATCTCTCCTGCTGCCCGCTGCTCCCCTTAGTAGTGTACTTCATCAGTCTGCCTGTTCTGCTCTCTGCTCTGGCTCTGGTGAATTCTCTCACCCTCCCACACTTCTGACTGTACCCAGTGCTTGTATAAATAAATAAATAAATCTTTGGGCCTGGTAACCGGAAGTTGGGCTGAGTCTATCTGACTTCATTTCTGGAGGCAGATGTAGTTCCATCATTACCCAAGTTGGGCAGTGAGGAAATTCTCATGTTCCCTACACTTCCAACAATGCCCCGTTGTACTTGGTGACTCACCAGTGGGCCCCAGTCCATGGAACAGCATGTGTCTCTGCAGGGTGTACAGTGTCTTGCTGTATGTTTGAACTAATTTCATAGACTTGTCTCCACCACGGATGTTACTTGCCTTCTTTTCTGATGGTCACTAGAAGCTTGTTGTATCAGAGAAAGCCAGAAAAGGAAAAGGCTGTGATTCTTTCCACTGGGCCACTGAGCTCATGCCCGGAGATAGTGCCCAGGATGGAAATTTAGGTTCAAGCCGAATTAAAAGCAAAGTCTTGGACATGTTTGTAAAAGGGCACTTACTTAGTTGGCAGGTCAAAGAAAATCCTCAGGTTGCCTGTAACTGCTGTGGTTAGAGTCACTGCTGGAGGCTTCCTTTCCCTTGGCATGCAGGGGGATAATGAAAAGGTCCCTTGGGCAGGCCAGGGTCAGGAGGCACGTAGATTTTGTGCAGACAGCTGATTTGTCTCTGATGGTGTTAAGATAACGAACTTGGGCAATTTTATAGGGAACAGAGAACTCCAGGAACCCACACTCAATTTCTGACATTCCAAAGAGGGAAGAACAGCTGGCATCTAAGCAGTCCCAAGGACACCCCGCCTGCTGACTTTTTCCTACTTCCTGGCACAGATGCCATGACTATATGGAGCTTCAGCCATTTTTGAGGGTCCCATTAAGCAGGGTGGGCCCAGTGCCAGCCTTACTTATATTATTTCAAACTTCGGTACCATGGCAATCCTGGAATACCTGCAGCCCCCCAGCTCCCCTGGTGAACACCTAGTCAGCGCCAGCAGGCCTTCCAGATGGCCCTATTCTTTGAGGTGCTGCTTCTGGTCCCCACACAGGTTCCCACCTTCTATTGTAATACTAATAATGAGAATCAAAACTGCTTGGCAAGGTCTTTGCTTACTGCTTTGCCTCTTCAACTAGACAGTGGGTTTTCTGAGAGCACGGGCCTTGGTTTCTTGCCCACTGTTATGTCTTTAGCACACAGGGTGTCTCCTGGCAGGCAAAAGGCATTCAGTAAATTCGGTAAATGTTTGCTGAATGACCTCATGAATGAATGAATGAGTGAATGAGTAAATGCGTGAATGACTTCCAGAGGTAATTTTCTGAGTATGACGAGGCATATTAAGTTTCCAGGACACCTGGAACTAGCCGTCCCATTGTGTCCCTATGCTGTAATTAGAAGGCGCCCGTTAAAAATCACATCTGTTACCTGTTACCATTCTTCATTACCTTTGGCTGGCTGGATTTACAGGATTAGTGGGGACAGAGTTCCAGTTTTGCAAGATAAACAGAGGTCTGTAGATGGATCGTGGTAATGGCTACACAACAATCTGCTTCATGCTCCCGAACTCTACACTGGAAAATGGCTGAGATTTTAGGGTGTGTGTACTTTACTGCAATAAAAAAATGCTCCACTAATTTAGAAGCAGTTTGATATTTTCTGATAGGAAGGATTTGAATTTGGCTCTAAGGAACTTATCTTTTTTCCGATCCTTACCAGTGAATGTGTGGAAAACAGAGGTTAGCTGTGATTCTACTGCATTCCTGGACAGCTTTTAAGCTGAGAATCTTTTTTCCTTCCTTCTTTCCATCCTGTCTTCTTCCTTCCTAACATATTTATCAAATGTCTTCCATGGGCCATTCATTCTGCCAGACACTGGCCATGGTAATATATTATCTGTGCTCAAATGTACTCACATTTTCTCCCATTTTACTATGTTTTTATTGGTGTACATTCTCAGTTTTTGTTTCATATTGGTTCACATTCCATTTATTTTCTATGCCAATTTTTTTCAGGGTGGAACAGAACAATTGCTTCTGCTGGATTTCCGATGCTTTCCAAAGGCTGAGCTGATGCCTGCACCATGAAGCCTAGTAAGTCTGGGTGACTGGCCTTGGCCAGCGGGCCACCAAGAAGTTCAAGTGGGATGGGCCCGCAAGTCAGGGGAGTGTTTTCACTGTTTCCTGAGGCTGGCATCGTGGGAATTTGCCTGGCTGCCTGGATGGTGAGAGTTGGATTTGGGGGCTTGGAAAGATGGTCCAAAGACTTGTCCCTGAAATAGACATGCATTTGTTTAAAGACTTGAAATGGTTCTGCTGCTGGAATTTTTCCCTCTGTGTTTATTTTCACATCTGGATGATGGTCTTCTGCCACTGGAATACTTTTAATGAATCACTTCAGAGATTGCTTTTAATGTTTCCCAGATGAGAGGGGGCTGGTGCTCGTCTCTTTTCTGGAGTCGTGCAGGGCAGGACTGACTTGGCTTCCCTGCTTGCCGCCTGGAGCTGCCCCTTGGGGAAAGCAGACAGACATTTTTTGTCTTTCTGGGAAACCTGCTCCTCGTCACAGGGCTCTCTTTCCATGTGAGACGGGGGAAATAGGTGGAATGGAATAGAAATAATAGAGAATGACTGGCTTTAATTGGTTCAAGATGTTTCAGGTCGCATCCCCTTTGGTAGTCACCGGTAGACACTGTTCCTCTCTTGTGCTCTTGTCTGCAAGAGCATCTTGAGCTGCAGGAGACAATGGGCTTTGCAAGTTGCAATGCTCTGGAAGTATCGACTTGATTTAGGAGTTATTGGGTACTAGGCATGCTTTGATGAATACCTGGTCCAGCGCCCTTGGCAAAAGCCAGCAGTGGCCAATGTCTCCATGACCATGCAAGTCCATGGTTCTTCTGTCATGCCAGGCATGATCCTTGGAAACCCATCCCTGCTCCATGTCTCTCTGACCCACACTCCATCCTGGCTACATCTCGTTCACACTGTTGGATGTTGTGCAGCTGCCCCCATATCAGACCCACCCTCCGCTTCCTCCTGAGCCCTGAGAAACAGACTACCGGGGGTGCATCACCCAGGTGCCCTTGACCTGCCCTCTGTTTCCTATAGGCTGATGGGGAGCCCCACAGAAGATCTGAGGAGGGAAGGGAGACAGCAGAGGTATTTATTCCCTTGACTCGCTCTCCACTGGCTAGCTGTGTGCCTTGAAAGTGTCAGGTCCTGTCAAGGTGGGCCTCTTTACATACATTTTTCTTTCTGTGCTCAGGCAGCTGTTGTCTCCCTTTACCCTTACGAGTCCAGGGTGGGTACAGCCCAGAGTCCTGCACTATATTTTGTGATTTCCTCTATCTTTTCCACACCTTTGTCATTTACTGAACTCTTCTTGCAGTCTCTTAATTTGAATATTCCTGATGGAATGCAGAGGATACAGACAGGAGGTCATTTTATACCCCAGGTTTTTTTGCAATATTCCCTCTACCAAGCAGTCTCTACTTCATCTGCTACCTGTCTTTTGCTTTTTGCTTTTTTTGTAATTGCAGTCAGAACATTTACCATAATTTCCATTAAAATCCTAATATTCTTCTTTGACCCCCCCCAAAAAAAATAAGAAAAGACTTTCAAGGAGTATGAATGCATCATATTCAAGGTTGAAGAACTTTTTTAATGACAGGCTGGTAAAATGATGGTGAAATGCTTTCTTTGTAATACATTTTTTTTAAGTTTGTTTTTTCCTTTCTTGTGGCAAGATATAGATAACATACAACTTCCTGATGGAAGTACACGAATAATATATATAGTTACTTCATTATACGTAATTTGTGACTGTCCAAATATTTGGCTAGAATATTTTGGTATAAAAATAATGAAAGCTATATCTATACTAATCCATTTGGAGGATATAATTTTGTGATAAAGTATGTTGTAATCATTGGACTTGTAAGTTTTTTCACAAGTTTCATTTGTACAGCTTTATTTCAACTTCTTTATTTCAACTTCTGTATATACTCCATTATGATTGTTGAACTGCTCCTTGTCCTTCAAAATTCCACAGAAATGTCACCTCTGTGAAGCCTTTCTTAAATTTCCCATGAGACAGTCCATCTCTCTTCACAGTATCAATCTTGTCTCTATACCTACTATTCACATTCTAATCCCTTGCTAATCAGACATATCTAAACTTGCCCTTATCAACATGTTGGTGTTTTATTCCCTCAAAGTCTGAGTCCAGACTTTGTCTGAGTGTCAGTCTAAAGTGCCTTCTTCATTGCCTGGTCTAGAGTATATGTTTAAAAAAAAATGGTAGCTATTACCGGACTACTTCACACTAAAGTATGAATGGCTATATGATTTATTGCATTATCCCTCCCAGAAACACCTTACATCTGCGAGGGACCTTCAGAGTCCCCTCCAGTGACTCTTTAAATTGGCAGAATGGGGTGGGGTCAGGGGCACTTCAAATTATGTTAAATCCAAGGCCTCTCTGCCTGTAGGTTTGAGAAAATAGAGAATCACTTCAGGTCAGTTTCCAGTATGCAGAGTCTGCTTGGAAAGGGGACAGGTTGCTCAACAGTGGCCTGGGGGAGTAGTGTCTGTGGAAAAAGACAGATGTGACTGGACACATCTCTGCTCGGCTAATATAACCTTCCAAAGGCTATTGGAATGTGGTTTTCTAAATTCTGACTGGCTGGCATTCTCTTGTGGTTGAGTTTGTAATAACATAGACTATGAGTCTAGTTATGCCAAAGTGGAAAAAAAATGCCATCTAATGGATTTTTTATGGTGGTTCTCAAACATTTTTAATATGTTATTAAAGATGTAGCTCAGTAAGTTTTTAATGTCCTGCTTTGGGGCTGACGAGCCAAGGCACAGACTTACAAGACTGGATGCTACACCTGGGAGGTGCCAGCACTGGTTAAGTTGCCCTGTGCAGTTTTGCCCCAAAATTGAGCTATCTACATAAGTACAAATTCAGAGCATTTTGATCATCCATGGCTTGGGGCAGAGATCAAAGCAAAGTGTCTCATTCCTCATTAAGTTCAAGGAGCCAGGGAACCTGCTGTGTTCCAAGTCATTCAAATGCATGCCACCTTGGAGAATCACAGCTCACTTCTCAGGTGGTAGAGGGACAGTGCTGAGTGGAAGCATCTATTGCAAATTGGCTTCCTCCTTGCTCTGTGGAAAAGAGCGGGCCCTGTCCACATAGCTTCAAAATCATGATATTTGGCTGGGCCTCCACTGGTGGTGCAGCAGTTGAGCGGTGGGCTGTGAAGCTGCCCGCAGCCTCTACAGCATCGGTTCGATCCCCGGCTGTCGGTGAGGGTCCCACATGGCACACAGACCTCTCCTGCTGCGCCTGCTGCTCCCCTCAGCAGTGTATTTCATCGGTCTGCCTGTTCTGTTCCCCACTCTGGCTCTGGTGAATTCTCTCACCCTCCCGTGCTTCTGACTGTACCCAGTGCTTGTATAAAATAAATAAATAAATCTTTAAAAAAAGTCATGATATTTGGGAACATCTTAATCTAACAGGGTCCCACAGGTGCCAGTGCAGCTAGCAAACTGACAGGATTCTTGGGGAGAACCAAAAGTGGTGTGCACTGAGTTAAGGGTGTGGGTGCTGAGTGCCTCAGTGTGGCTAGGATAGAAGGCTTATCTGGGTAGGGGGTGATGACCTCAAGTGAGCAAAATAGAAGGATCCAGGGACTCTGCATTTGCTATTGTCCCACATCCAGCTTCTCTTGCTATCAATATCCTGTGTTCCCCCTTTCCAGGAAACTGTCATGTAGATATTGTGACTTATAAGACTGGATGTGAGGTCTGAAAACCCAGGAAGTGAGGCTGGTGAACTAGATTGCAAAGGAGTTTGTCCTGGTCATTAACTGCAGCCCAGGTTGTCTTCCTTTGTGCCACCTGCCTGAGCTCTTCCAGTGCCCTTGGGGTGTCCGTCTCCCACTTGGTCATGGTCACTACTACCCAGTGTGACTCTGATGAAACACGCCTTCTGTTGCTCTCCCATCTCCATACTTACTAGGATCTCAATAAATGTTTGTCAATGGAATGCTTCTGAAATTTCATCTGATATGCTCTGAGTTTTCCTAAGATGCAGTTCATTTCTCTTCTTTTGTCTCAATGCTTATTTTCTTGGCTTGGATCCTGTCTTGCGAGGCTGCTTCCATTGGTCAGAGGTGAGTGGCAAGCTTGCTCTGTGCCTCTGACTTCAGGATGGTCATTATTATTGTAGTTCTAGCCTTATGCTTTGTTGCTCTCTGACTCCAGACCTTCCACTCCACATTGTAGGTGGAGCAAGAGAAGCTCTCTAAGTAAAGAAATGGTTGAAATCTCCCTGGTTTCAAAGGTCTGCAACTGAGTATATTCAGGACATTTAAAGAATTCCTACTCTAAACATTTTGGGAAGAACAGCCAGATTTTGTAAAGAAAAAAAGGTAGTTTAATGGGCAAAGATGTTCTGAGTAATTCTATGCTTGAGTGAATGTCCAAGGGAAGAAGCTGTTTGACCAGCATTTCCAGGAATCACAGTCTCCAAGCTGACTTGCCATTGGAGTGATTTCAGTGGATCGCTTGTGGGGCCCTGGTTATTTCACTGAGTGATTCAACCTGCCCAGAAAACAGTTGTCCTTTCTCTACCCTCCCACCACTCCCCTTGCTCCCCTACATTAGGAGGGTGACAGGTGCACTTAATGTCAGAAAGATTTGCTTTAAGACTGATGGTGGTTGGGGCCTCCCTGGTGGTGCAGGGGTTGAGCCCAGCGCTGTGAAGCTGTCCACAGCCTCTGCAGCACGGGTTCAATTCCCAGCCAGCCAGGGAGATTCCCACATGGCATGGCAGACCTCTCCTGTCTCGCCCACTGCTCCCCTCAGCAGTGTATTTTGGTCCTTCTGCCTGTTCTGTTCCCCACTCTGTCTCTGGTGAATCCTCTCACCCTCCCGCACCTCTGGCCTGTACCCCGGTTCTTGTATAAAAATAAATAAATCTTTAAAAAAAAAAAAAAAGACTGATGGTGGGAGGACAATGAAGACTACATAGTTTTGTTCTTTCTTTCCCAACACCTGGAGGCTAGACTCACTTCCCTAGAGAG